GGGTGGCAGGGGGGGAGGAAGGGGGGGATTGTTGCGCGCTCTCACGTCTGCAATTGGCAGGTGTGAGGATCTGGGGCGTCCGCCGGGGGTTGCAGGTCGAAATAGGCGATCGCGGCAGGGTCGGGCTTGCGCCAGGGCACAGGCGGAGCATGGGCATGGACGGCTTTCATTGGGACTGCTCTGCTGCGATTGAATCACTCAGGGCAACGGGAGTGACACATGCCACCGCACGACCGCAGGTATGGGGACTGTGCCCCGCCTACTAGCCTCGTGCTGTGACCATTCAACACACCAAAAATGAAGTCCGTCTTCCACCCTCCCATGAGGGGGTAGCGCAAGTTAATATCGACCACGGTCTGGGGGGATGGTGATCAGAGGGGTAAGGCGTGTGGGGCGCGGGATGCGACTGTGCCAGCCATTGCCGTTGCGCGCGTGGAGAAATTGGTTAGCAGGTTTGACAGGGTTGGGGGTGCCCCGGCTTGGTCAATCCCATCAGCACAGGATCTAGACGCAATATTGAAGGATCCACCTGCTACCTCCTCATCATAAGTGCACACGCACACGAGCATACACGCGCACGCACGCATGCACAGCGGCGTGCCCGCGTACGCGTGCGCGCGCACATGCATGCTCACACAAACCCACAAACGCATGCGCACCTCCTTCGATGTCTTGCGCGTGTGCGAGCTGGAGATGTTACCAATAGCATCCTTGTAATACAAAGAATGGGCCCCGGCTGGCAGGTGCGCCCTCACATCCTGTGAGGACAGAGCAAAGGGGTCGCAACAAAAAGCGGGGCGGGACGGGCTATGTAACAACCTCGGCTAGTCATGTGTGTGCAGGATTGCACCCTGTGTGCTTCAGGGGCGCCGCACAGACCTCGCATCGCATCCCGCCATGCAGCGGGGGGGGGGGGGGTGGGCTGTGCGGCTGCTGGATGGCGTTTCAAGAAGCTGGGCAAGGCCCAGCAGGCGGGGCGGCTCCGAATCCGTCATGAAAGGGGTAGAATGTCGCCGATCCAGCCCCCCTGTGCACAGAGGCGTCGATCCCACCCGGCAGGCCGACCTGGAAGCTGTTGGCGCGGCCGCCCTCCAATTGGTAGCGCAGTCTGCTGAAGGGCCCCTTGTGCTCTGAGCCGGCATTGGCCTGCGGGCAAGGAGGGGGCAACAGGGATCGGCCGGCGGCAAGGTCAACACTCCTGCAGCCATCAGCTGCAGGTGCACGAGCAGCCCCTGCTCCAAAGCGTGCGCTCAACAGCAGGGAGCGTCGAACAGATTGGCATGTTGCAGCACGGCTTAACAGCCCAGCAGCCCCAGCCGCAAGCGCAGCGCCTTGCACGGGGTCTGCAAGGCACGCGGCGGTCCATGCACTGCTCAATCAGGCAGTTGTACCGCCCGTGGATGACTCACGATGACATAAGCCTCCTCGACATAGATGTTACCCCAATGGGACACCTCGATCTCCCGCACCAGGCTGACGACCTGTGAGGGTGGTGGGTGAGGATGAGCAAGATAAGGGCAAGGGTGGCGGTGTATGGCACAAACCATAAAGACAAAGAACGGCAGATGCAGGGAGATGGCAAATGTACGGTGACACCGGGGTTAAGGACCAGCTCGCCCAGCGCCTTTTGGCAGCAGCAACAGCAGCAGCAGCCTGCCGGCCGCCGCGGCCAAGTGCAAGTGAGCCCAGGAGGCCTAAGCACTGCCTGGCCTTGCCTTGGCCTTGCCTTGGGACAAGCAGCCTGTCCCATCCACCCTCCCACCCTCCTCAAACCCACAAATGCAGCCACTCACCCGCACACGCACACACACACACACACACACACACACACAAACACAATCACAAACACCTGTATCCCCACCCCCACCCCCACCCAAAACACACATATATACATATACTCACACAAAGGTCTTACATCGCGGCCCTCACCTTCTTGAAGGGCTTGTCGTGGTGGAAGTGCACCCGGAGGGGTTCCAGGGACCATGGCTCAGCCGCGCCAAGGGAGCCCCACACCAGCCGGGTCACCTTGTTCACGGTGTCCTCGGGGCGGCTGTGGCTGAGGATGCCCTCTGTCGGCAGGATGGCCTGGCGGCAGCGCGGCGGCCGGGGGCAGGCAGGGTCAGGGCGCGGTGGGTGGGAGGGGCGGCATGTGGGAGGGGCGGTTGGGGGTTGGCACGCTGACGGATTGGCAACGCAGTCGCCAGCCACCTTGACGAATGTGAGTGAGGAACTGTGTCTGCAGTGGATTGTGTCAGCGCCGCTTCCTGCCCTTGTGGCCCGCTGCATGTGCTCGTGCACATTCACATGCAAATTTTTGCACGCTCAGGTGCGTGCGTGAAATACACACACGCATGCGCGCTTGTGCGCGTGCGCTCGCACACACCCCACACACAACAACTTACAGACACTCTCTTTCCCTCTCTCACACGCCGACGCCCTCCCCCACACACGTGCACGCGCGTGCCTGCACACACTATATGAAGCTCCAAGGTGACGTTGAAATCAAGAAGTTCACATGCGCAGCTGACACATACACACACACCGTCGTCGACTGCTGCTGTATCTTGTAGGGTGACACGGGCCACAGCGTGTCCTCATACTCCACCAGCTGCTGGTCACCCTGCCTGATGGCCCTCGGGTTGGGCGTCAGCACCCCAGTGAATGACGTCGACACCTCCACGGTGGCAGATGCGTCCTTGGGTATGGAGATCGTCGCAGAGTAGCAGCTGACGCGGGACGGCGCGCCCGCAGGGGTGGTGGCAGGGGTTGGCTCGAAAGCCTCTTTGCCAATGGTCACCTGTTGCAGGGGGCCAGTGCCGGGGGTGCACACGTGCGCTTTGGGCATGGGGAGCATGCTGGCGTGGGAGCACCTGGTGGATGTTGGCACCACGCGCCCGTCGCCGTGTGCATGTGAGCGCATGCCTGGGTGGGCGAGCAGCCAGGCGTCGTCGGTTGCCCGGCAGAGATTGATGGCAGTCAGCCGACCCGGGTGTGGCTCCACCCGTTGCGAGTTGCAGCGGACTCAAGGCAAAGCGTCCATCGCGTGGGCCCTTATCCCCTTGGACACCACCACACGCGACGCACCCGTAGCCGCGCCTGGCGCTCTGCGAGGCGGGTCGGGTAGCAGAGGAGAAGCGACTCCGCGGCCGCTCCACTCGCCAAAACCTCAAGGTTGTCTGTCACCTTGGCTATCTGTGACTTGAGGTTGACCTGACGGCAAGTACAGTGCGGCGCAGCAACGAAGGCCGGCTGGTGCGAGGCTGGCTCATCCGCACAGGAGACCAAGCCTGAAGTGAGTGTGCGACGCCAGATCTGCCTGGCGCCGCCGATCGCCATGCGCTCCCATTCAATGCAGCATACCTTCCTCTCGGAGCTTGTGATCACCACTTCAGCTGAAGCAGCCGCGCCCAGCAGCAAGAGCATGGCCCACAGGCAGGCAAGTCCCGATATTACAGCCATGTGATCTCGTCGCTGGCTTCTCATATAATGCACAGTTGATTAAGAAGCAATCGCATTTTGGGTCCCAAAGCACCCAGTCGGGACACCGTGGGAAGCTGCCGTGCTTGCCTGGAATGCAGTGCGGTTGCAGGCCTTCAAGAGACGCTCAATCACGACCTCGTGCGAGATGGCTCTCAAACACCTTCTTTCATAGTTTTCGCTCTGTTTATACATTGGGGGGGCCAAGTCCGTGGTTGGCGCTTTGCGGATCGACGCACTCAGCCTGCAGCAGCGAGCATGGGCCTCGAGGTAGGAGACACATGAAGCTGCAGCAAAATAACAGCGGGCAGTGCCCAGCAGGCTATGAGGGGTCGCTGGCACGATGCTGAGAGGCCCGTTGGGGCGGGCTCGCAACAGCCTGCGCGCCGCATGCATCCGTTGGCGCCAGCACCGAGGGCCAGCAAGCAAAGTAGGGCGCAGCTGGCTGTTACTCGGAGGGTAGTGCATTCAATGGAGGCCGATCGCCGCGGCGGCTGTGTGCCTGCAACGCCGGGGCACTCCAACTCCCAGCGCCGAGTGTGACGAGGCCACTCGGAGGTGGCGCACGACGCCCAACCCCACCCTCATCACCACCAGCCTCTGCCATCCCTCGGTCAACCCACCGATCCTGCGGCCGCTCTCGTACATCCCAAGACTCGAAAGTGCCGCCGCGTCACCGCGCACGCCCACCTCGTCCCGCCTTGCCCCGCTGTCGTCCGATGGCGTACCGCAGGAGGACTTCCAGGCAGCGGCTGCGGAGATCAAGCCGGTCCACGGCGTGTCGTGGGAGGAGATGCTTGAGATGTACGGTCTCTACAAGCAGGCCACCATCGGGGACAACAACACCTGTGGGTGTCTGCCGCGCGGCTGCTGCCTGATGCCCAAAGGGTTCAAGGGCTGCTGCTGCCCGCCGGACATCGAGCATGCCAGCCAGTTTGCGCAGCGGCGGCGCTGCCCATGTCATTAATCCCGCGCCGCGGCCGCAGCTTGGTACTGTTGCAGCACATGCGCGTTTGCAACACCCGCTGCCGCCTCGATGCTGCAGTGCACCTGCCCCAGTTGCAATTGGTCTACGTGTCGGTCTCCACCAACTGCCAACCCATCCCATGCCATTTCATCCCTTATTTCCTCCCTGCCAAAACCACTGAACAGCCAAGCCGGGCATCCTGGATCCTAAGGGCCGGAAGAAGTGGGACGCATGGGAGAGCAAGAAGGGTGAGCGTAGGAGGGCGGGGCGGCCCTGGTCAGTTGAGGACGGCAGGGTCACCGGGGGTGCGCACCGCGGCTGCAGGCGACGGCGGCAACATGCGCAGCTGTTTGGTTTTGTTGGAGGCGAGCGGTGGGCAGGACCCTGTGAGGATTGACAGGCACCACTTGTGATTTGCGCAGCCCACACCAACCCCCTGGAACGATCGCGCTCGCTCTCCTGACAAGGCTTGAGCAAGGAGGAGGCCATGACCAAGTACATCGAGTGAGCACCTGGGCCAGCGGGGCCGCTGCGCGCGCGCGCGCGCTTGGCAGCAGGGCCGGCTCTGTTGCGCGACCTCGATGCTGCCCTTGCGTCCGTCTCGTACCAGCCTGCCAGGCCCACTCCCAACTGGCCGCGTGGGTTCCCGCCAAGCTGCACTTGTGCGCGACACTCCTCACCAACATTGCGTCCTGCGCTGCCGCCTGTTTCCATCCTATTTCATCCGTTTTTGGAAGGGTGGTCAAGGCTTGTCTTGTGAAGTACCGGGACAACAAGGAGGAGGCCGCACCCACACCCGCCTGAATACTGCCGCGGGCCTGGCGCGCACATCGGGCTGCGCTCTCGCATGAGTGCTTTCTGCGCCCAGGACAGCGTCGGGCGCGTATGGGTAGAGGCGTGCGCAAGCCCACGCAGCCCTATGCTGCGGGTGCGCCCGCTGTCAGTGTCGCTCTCAAGGAGTCGTTTTGAAGCAGAAAGAGAACGGAACAGGCAGACTTGAGACACTTTCGTATTGCGCCTAACTTGCCTGGGGCATGCGGTCAAGCTCGCTGCCAGGCGGCAGCAATCCAGCCTGGTCGGAGCAGTACAGCGCGTACACGCAAGCGTATCACAGTCGCCGCCGTGGCTTGGGTTCCTCTTGTCCAACTCGCCTTTTTACTTGGGATCAAGGCTTCCACTATGTTTTGTTCCAGCCTACACCGCCATTTCAAGATGGCGGGACGTGTAAGTGGCTCTTTTTCAGCAGCTGCATCAGTCGGCTGGTCAATCCTGAATGTCATTGTTTGCTGTCAACATCTCAAAATGCGAGGGGAGAGTCCAGGGGTGCCCAACAGTCCGCACTCCCTGACCTTGCTATCTGAGACAAAAACCCTTGGATTGCACGTCCCAGGCCGACAGACTCAGCCCCCTGAGGGTGCTGCCTGCTGTTCCAAGAGGGACACTTGCTGTAGCAGCAGCACAATAAGCACGATGGCATTCAGCGGGTTCTGCGTGTTACACGTCGCGGGCGCTCCTATCCTGCTGCAGGCCGCCCTTGAGGTCGGCCGCGCCCGTTGCGAGCATACTGCGTGGTGCTCGGGCACCAGGCGCTAAGGGGCGGCTGCCCCACTCCCGGCTGCCCCCGCGCTGGCAGGTGCCGCCCACGCACGTCGTGCGTCTACTTGCTGCGCTGCCTCATCTTCCTCCTCTTGCGCTTGAGCCGCCTCATGCGCTTCTTCCTCCACTGCAGGGCGGCAGGTGGCGCGCGAGGGTTGGGACACAGAAAGGGATTCAGATCACGCTGTGCCTGCAAGCGCACACAGGCCCTGTAGTCACTGGCAACTTTGGGTGGTGTCTTATGCGCATGCTGCATCTAGGCTGGCAACAGGGGGCTGGGATGCGCACACACTCTCCTCGCGGCTGCTGCTGCGCGCCAGTCGTGAGCCGCCGCTGACGCTGCCTAAGCGGCCGGCTCTGCCACCGCGTGCTGCCCATTGCTCCATCATGGTTGTTTGCTTGCACCAGATCCCTGGACGACCGCGAGCCATGCACTGGCTGCGCGACCCCAGGGACCGGGCCATCGGCGGCACAAGCAGGAAGACTTTGCGCACCTTCGGACGCATTTTGGCTAGCTTGTCGACTATACGGCGGATGAAGAGGGCTGTTGTCAGGCGGGAAAGCCGCTTTGAGCAAGGAACGAGAGCAGGCAGCGGGACGGGCGGCAATCCAACGCGTCACTTTATAGACCGTTAGGACAAAACACATCACTTGCATGATTGATATGCATAAGCACGTCCTGCAGCCGCCTGCACCAGCACCAGCCGCCCCTCTGTTCTGCCATCTTGTGCACCGCCTTGGCTTGCTGCCAGGGGTGGTCAACGGGGGCACCATTGTCATGTCAGATGCCATGGCCACGGCCATCTGGAAGCACATCCATGCCAACAGCATACATTTGGTATGTTGACCAAGACCAGCGTGGCTGTCCAGGTTGGCAACCAAGCACTCCTTGCTCCCATGCATCCAACACCGCTGTTCTGGTCTGCCGCCTCCGCCTGCCGTGAGCGGGTCAATTACAATCGAATGTCATCAATTTGACATGCTAAAGACAGCACTCCTCGTGCCAGTGCGGGCGGTGCGGCCGGAGCTTGGTGCGCCTGTGGACGGGCGCCGCTGCCCCTGTTGGGCTTTACGCCAGCTGGGCCAGGATGTCGCTCTCCCGCACCACGATGAACTGGTCGTCGCCCTCCTGCAGTATCGTTGCACCAAAGCAGCAATGCCAAAGCGACATGAGTTGCAGCAGCTTGCAAACAGCCGGACTGGCGTGCCCACGTAGACGGCATCAGGCGATGCCACAGCGCACCCCAACCCAATCCAGCCTGTACCCCGGAGTCTCCAGGCGGCAAGCCGTACCCACCTCGAACTCGGTGCCGCTGTATTTGCTGTACATGACGGTGGAGCCCACCGGCACGTTGGGCGCCACCACCTTGCCGTCCTCCGCCTTCTTACCGGAGCCGACGGCCACCACCTCGCCAAAGGTGGGCTTGTCGCTCTCGGTGGTCAGCAGCACACCGCCCGCGGTCTTGCCCTCAGCCTGGGCGCACTGCGCTCAGGGTCAAGCAGGGGTTAAAAAGGAGGGGTTGGTGAAGGGTGACGAAGAGGTAGGTGCAGCTTGGACGATCAAACGCAGCGCACATCAGGAGCTTTCAGCAGCGCCTGCCGTGCGCAGTACGTCGCTCTCAGACCAGCTGGTCTCCACGCACACTTCTTGCCGCAGAGGCGGCTGACCCCAAAGAAGCGGCGCCGCTAGCTCCTGATGTGGCCAGCTCGCCAACAAGCTCGCACCTTGATAAGCACACGGTCGCCAAGGGGCTTCAGCTTGGCGATGTTGTCCCCAGAGGTCAGCACACCGATGACATCATCCTCCTGCAGTGAGATGGCATAGGGTGGGGTTGGGGGGTGGGTGGGAGTAGAAGGAGGGCAGGGCAGGAACAGGGCTGCAGCAACGAGGAAGCAGCGCACAATCAATCCGCCACGACGTTCGCGTCGCACGCTCTAGCGGCTGTGTGCGCCGCTCGAGCGGGCTGCCACCTGCCGATTTGACTGCTGCCCACGCCCTCCTGGACCCACACCCTGGGGACCATACTGCTGCAATCCCCATCCCCCACGAGTGGCCCAATGCCTGTCATTTCCACCTTGAGCAGCACGTGCTCGTCGCCGCTGATGGCCACCTCGGTGCCGGCATACTTGGAGTACACCACCCGGTCACCAGACTACAGCAGCGGAGTGGACAGGAGGGCAGGACGGGGTGAGGCGCAAGCCCCTGATGATCCGGAAGGAACAGCGCAGCACAGCCAGCGGCGCAGACACGCGCACCGGGGGCCCGCTGCAGCCAATGAGGATGCCGCGGCATCCATACATTGCTGAGTATGACATGTCAGTCCACTGCATGCATCTACAGGTGCTGTCGCTGCGCACCTGCACAAGCTCGACGTCGCCAAGCGCCACGACGGCTCCTGCAGTGGGCTTGTTCTGCGCCACGGTCGGCAGCAGCACGCCGCCTTGCGTCCGGCCCTCCTCTTTGTCGACCTTGACCAGCACGCGGTCGCCCGAGGGCTTCACGCCCTTGAACTGCGAAAGGAATGGGCGGTGTGCAAAGAGATCGAGGCGTGGGCACCCCAGCCGAAAGGCTTCAGTTCCGGCGGCACGCAAATGTGGAGTGCTTATTACCTTGGGTGGAATCGCAGTGGCTGCCCTGCATGCCACGCCGCGGCTGCCCGCCTTGAAGGCCCCGCTGCTGCGCATGCTCCTGCTGCCGAGGGACTGCATGATTGCTCGCTGCCGATATGTACGACTAGTACGCAAAGTAAACACCAATCAGAGGTGGATCGCAGATGGAATGAGGTTCGGAGATCGGTGTGGGCTTGATGATGAGTTGGTCGAGAGCCTTCGGTGGCGAGCGCTGCGTTCACTGGCCTGGGCAGCAGGCCAGCGTTGATCAGGGCTCAAATTAGTTACTCACGTCACTCAAACATGCCTTCATACAATCTAGAGCACAATGACGGTGTTGGTCAGCTCACCAGGCCAGGTCCTTGTTTTGACTGTTGCAGTCCTTGTTTTGACTGTTGCACGCACTTGACGCCCCGAACGTGCGTCATGTAACGAGCACTGCAGCAAACTGAGGCTATGCCCTGGACTGGACGGTCAATCATCGCGTTCGCTTGATGTGCTATGAGAAGCAACCAGAGCGTGCCAAGCCGTGTTTCGCACCATCGTTCGCAAACCTGCCCGCACACGCCCGAATGCGCGCCCTTGTGTGCAGTGCAGAGCAGCGCGCACTTGGGGCCTTCGGTCACGCCTGATTTGAATGGCGCATGGTAATCAACCGAATCTCAGTCCCAATGGTCGTGCTCCAAAGTCCAATCCCGCCTGTGAGCCTGGACAAGTGCTGGCACCACAATCGCGATGGCACCACTAGCAGGTGACTGCGAGGCGCCGCAACATTATGATTTCAACCCTGATGCATGAGGTGGAAAGCTTGTTACCACTCTATGCAAACCCATGCAACTGCCAATGCAGAAGGGCACATGACCCAGCAACGCGCATAACATGCGACACGACATACAGTCAGCACAATCAGAGTGCTGGAGAGGCCCCTCCCCATGCACATGGCCACATGCAAATGGCCCGCCAGCGCTCATGCACCACATCGCAAGACAGGCTCAACCCTATGCTCTTAAGCTTCCCACCACGAGCCGACGCACTGCTGGCGCTCCATGCCACATGGCTGGCACCTACTTCATTCAGCAGCCTGACACCCTCGTGATGTGACGGGCTGTTCGCAGCCGCTGGCCGTTGGCCAACCGCACCATGCGAGTAGATGCTCGTTCATAAGCTGCGCGTGAGTTGAGAGGCGCCGCCAGCCTATGATTGGTGCAGCGGGGGCAGCATTTGCATGGAGAAGCGTTCCGTCAAAGGTGGGCATGCGTGCGTGTGTCCCGGATGCAACGGCCGCCTCAGCAGACAGACTGGTGGCGAGAGAGCACTCGGCTAACAGCAGCAAGCCGCTGTGCATGCAGACAGGCGCAAAGCATAGACAGGTGAGACCACAAACATCCAAACATACAAACACACATACACGCGCGCACATATTGCCAGGCGCACAAGCTCTGCCGCGCCTACCTCAGGGGGTGCCAGCACTGCTGGCGCCTGTCGCTCCCGTGGTCTCAGCGCCAGGAGACGTGGCCGGGGACGGGCTGGCCTCAGCGCCTGTGACAACAGCAGGGGCCGGCAAAGGGCTTATCTCGCCGCCCGCGGCGGCGGTGGGCGCGGGGCTCGCCTCCGCGCCAGGGAGGGGTGCGGGGCTGGCCGCCTCGCTAGCGCTAGGGGCCGGGCTGCCCATCATGCCGCCACCAGCCATGGTCATGTTGCCGGTCTCGGTGGCGTTGGGGGCAGCGGCGCCCCCAGCAGAGGGGGCTGGAGACGCCGGGGGCACCGTGACAGTGGCAGCAGGTGATGCCTCGGTAGGAGCAGCGGCAGCAGCCGGCGATGCCTCAGCAGGGGCGGCGGTTGTCGTCGCTGGAGCCTCGGGAGCGGCGGTCGTGCCTGTACAAGGAGGCCGTAGAAAAGTGATTGGGCTGTAAGAAAGTGCTTGGTGGCAGCAGCAGCCGTGGTCAAAGCCGGCCATCCGAGAGGAGGCAGATGTGGGCGTGGCCAGGCTCTGCGGGACACTAGGTCGGGACTACAGGTGCGCAGCACAAAACATACGGCTCTCCGCACAACAGCCGCAATCTTGGCTACATTGTCCAGGCTTTCAGGCAGCGGGTGATGCCTGTGAGGGATCGTGCGCCTTTCTCAGGCCCTGATAGCACGCGCCTGGTGTGCCCCTGGCATTGCCCCTCACCAGTGGTGGCCGTGCCGCCAGCCTGCAGCAACCTGGCAGGGCAGTTCAGGCGCAGATATAGGAGCACGCAGAGAGTGTGAGTATGCATGAGGGTAGGACTTGCAGGCGAAGGGGTGTGGGGTTCACGCAGAAGGGCTTTGGTCTTCGTCAACTGCTGGTGACATCACGCCACTGAACGCACGCAAGGTCCATTGTGCAGATACTGCAACAATCATTCAGCGCCGTTGCAAGTTGTGCCAAGGGGCCGTGCCAGCACGCAGCCTTCCGGACCACCTACTTGCGGGTGCCGCCGGCCTCGTCAGCATCGCCGTCGCTGTGGGGCGCGCCCGCAGTGGCGTTCGGTGCAGCCGCAGTGGCGTTGGGGGCGGCAGCGGTCGCGTTTGGGGCAGCCGCGGTGGGGTTGGTCGCATTGGCCTGGTCCTGCAGCAGCCTGCGGGGAGCGACGTTTCCTAAAGGGGCAGATTGCGAGGAGGTAGCTGTCAGGGCAGGGCTTAGTGCAACGTGCAAAGTCGGCTGCAATGCACTGGCTGGAGTTGGGAAAGGCAACCCACCACCTGTGACAGCGCAAGGGTAGCTTACCGAAGCGTGCCGCGCTTGTACAGCCTGCGAGGAGGGCCATCATAGCCAGGACGGCCAGCAAGACGCGAGCCATGGTACGGGGATCTAGGAGAAAGGCTCGGAGGACTTCAGTTGACGGCACGACGAACGGCTGCGAAGGGATTTCCGAGCCTTTTACGAGCACAAGTTTGCTCGAAAGGGTGCAAGCTGATATGAACATCAAGCATGTCAGGACTACATCACAGTCCAAGGCTTGCTGTAAGCGCCTTTGCGCAGCTCCCGCCTTGTCACCTGCCATCCAGACTTCACTCCAGCCCGACAGACTGCACAGCTGCTGACCCTCTGGCCACCCCTCCAAGCAATTGGAGGCCCCATGCAGGGCCGCAACACGGTGTGGATAATGGCGCCAACGCTTTACTCCCCTCCGCCGCCATCGCCGCCGCCCTCAAACCCCACGGGCGCCGGCAGGCCGCCCTGCACGATCGCCATGGCCTGGTACGACCGCCCCATGCCCCCCTCGTCCTGCCCCACCAGCCGGTGGAACGCGGCCGCCAGAGCCTGGGCCTGGCCCTCTGAAGTCGCTACGTCGGCCAGCGTCTGCGCGCGCGCCTGGATGCCCAGGGACAGCAGCAGCTGCGCCTGGCTGACCGGGCCGTGGACCTCGACCTGCCATGCACATCCGATTCGAGGGTGGGCAGCTTGAGGGACAAGTAGGCCTCAGTGCACAGGGAGACCGAGAAATCCAGCGATAAGCTGAGCCGGCGGCTCGCACAAGGCAGCGCCCCGGGCGCAAACACCCGCTCGCATCCCCCCTGCACACACTTTCCTGCTTGGCCCCAGGCCCAGGCACACTGCTCGACCCCACGCGCTGAGGGGATTGCGGCCCAGAACAGCCGCGACCCCACGCGGTCGACCAGCCGAGCTCACCGCCGCGCCGCTGCCCTCGGCCGCCAGCCGCAGCGCGCCAAAGTCGACCCACGCGCTCAGGTCCGCCGTGCCCGGCCGGCTCAGCGCGTGCACGCCCTTGTGCTGCCGGATCGCGATCAGGGAGTCTGTGTACGGCGGCGAGCCGCGGCCGTAGTCGATGACGAGCGCGGCGCCGCCGTGTGCGCCCACGCGCAGCGCGAGGCGCTCGGCGGTGGCCATGCCGTGGGCGCTCACCTGGAAGGTGGAGGGGCGTGCGGTGAGCGGGGTCGGGCAAATTGCAGGCAGCAAGCAGGATCTGCCCCTGGCTGTTGTCCCGAGCCCCGACAAGGTGCTGACCCTTGCCAGATCTTTGGCGAAGGGAGCTCCCTGCTGCACAGCCGGCTGGGCAGGGACAACTGCAACACCATGCACCCCCAATATCGTCAAATTCATCTTGAGCCAAACCACTGGTCGGCGGCCCCTTTTCTTGAAACGCAACAATGCCTGGCTTGCTACACCCTTGACGACACCTGCGCTGCAATACTGTTTGGGCTGCTCTCACCTCGAGCGCCTGGACGCCCCGCCGCTCCTCGTCCACGAGCGCCGCCAGCCGCCGCGGCACCAGCAGCGCCGCCGCGGGCGTCTGCCCGGGCGACAGCACGAAGCGCAGGTGGTGGGGGCCGGGGTCCGAGGGCTCGGCCACGTCCACCATCTTCTCCAGCCAGTTCCTGGGGGTGGGAGGGGCAGGGGTGGCGCGAGGGCGGGCGTGCGAATGAGTGACACCGCTCTAAATGGAATGTGGGGAAGCAAGGACTTGAGTGAAAGCGGCGGGTGCACCTGCGCGCGATCGATGCAGCTCACGCCAACCTCAGCACAGCCACAGCTGGCTCGATAATGCAGGCCTGCGTCGCAGGCCGCCAGCAAACAGACGCCCGCACCGCGCTCGCCCCCCCTCGCCGCCAGCACGACGCCGCAGGCCCCGTCCCTTTGCACCTGCCGCCCTTGTCCCGCACGAACTGGTGGACCGGCAGCGCGTCAAAGAACTCGTGAGCCAGGTACACAGTCGGCGGCCCCTCCTGCGGCACCTCGTCCAGGGTGGCGCGCCACCGCACGCGCACGCCCCCACCGCTGACGCTGCTCGTGCCCTCCACCGCATCCTGCCCACCACCCCCGCCCTCTCCCACGCCCGTTTCGCCGCCGCCGCTGCCGACGCCGCTGCGCTGCTCGCCGCCTGTGCACCGGAGCGCCACCCACTGCGCCCGCCTGAGGGCGGGGCTGATCTCCACCAGTTCGACTTCGAGCGCCTGTGCGAATTCCGGGAAGCTTCCCGCGCCCCTCAGCAGGTCAGACATGAGCGTCCCGCGGCCAGGCCCCAGCTCCACCAGGCGCAGCTTTGAGGGGCGCCCCAGGTTCATCCAGGTCACCAGGCACCACACACCCACCATCTGTGTTGTTT